CCGGAACGCTAAGGAAGTGTTGCGATTTGTTTCATTAGTTCGATCTTGTTAGAAAAAATGCCAAATTTGAATTCACTGGTAAGCAGCACAGTGCTTCTGAAAACTTAAAAGAATTCCTGACGAGTAAAAATATTTTAGCAATCTATTCACCAACGGCTGAAACCGAATTGCATTGCCATCTCTGGGCAATAACATTGCAGAAGCAAGAAGATGGCCTTTTCAAACCAATCTTCTACTTCAGCCAACGCACTACCCCAGCGGAGGCAAAGTATCATTGTTTTGAACTTGAATGCTTCGCTGTGGCGAATGCTATAAAACGATTATGATGTCTATTTGGGGGGAGTTAAATTTAAAATAAGTACTGATTGCGACAGTTTTAGGTTAACTCTTAGTAAACAACAAATAAATCCGCGAATATCACGTTGGCCAATGTTTTTGCAGGATTATGACTATGAAATATGTCATCGTCTGGGAAAACGTATGAGCCATGTCGACGCACTGAGGCGGTGTCAGCGTTTTAGTTATCGAATCCAATACTTTTGATCAAACTCTTGCAATTTGTCGAAATCGTGACGCGGAAATAAGTAAAATCCGTAGTGCACTTGAGCAGGAGGAGGATAAATTTTTCGAGTTACGCGATGGTCTCGTATATCGAAAAAATGAAAATAAGGAATTACCTTTTTATGTTCCCCTTTCAGTAGAGAATAATGTGATTCGCACCTGCCATGATGATCTAGGGTATATCGGGTGTGATAAAGTAGTAAATAATATTTTGAAAGTATATTGGTTTCCAAAATTGCGCGAAAGAGTAAAAAAATATATTGCCAATATGTTTACACTGTGTTTTTGCGTTTTCAAATATTTCCTTTTAAAAATTTGAAATTTGTCAATCACAAATAATATGCTGCTGCCAGTTAGTGTAAGGTGGCTATGGCGGCGTTTGAATAAAACAAGTGTTAAAATGCTGCCACTATGATTCACCATTTCATAGTTGACCCTAATCTTGCCGATGTGCACCTATGGTGAAAGATTATGTAAATGTATGTATGTATTTTTTATACAGAATAAGACCAAGGATACGCGATAACGTTGGTGAATATTTTATTAGCGAACGATCAATAAAAAAAAGCTTACAAAGGATAATAATTATTGTAGCAGTTGTTCAATATGGGCAATACAAGTAGCATAAATAGTTTCTAAATACATAATGCCATTTCTAACAGATTCAGTCCAGTTTAAATATCCGAAACTTTCTCTTATCCGACGTTTAAATTCCTCGGCAGTTGACGGTTTGTGTTTGTAAACTAAAGCTTTAAGTATACCTCATAAAAGAACATCAAAGGGAAGTGGGGGTTCCTTCGATGCCAGGAGGAACTACCATCTATCCAAATAATGTTAGCAAATATATTTTCTGAAAAGTGTCTCTCCACAAGATCATTGCAAAAATCTAACCTGATGTTGTAATCCCGTTGCTCTAAGTTCTGAACAGGACAGAATTTATAGGACTTTCAGTTGTCTATTTGAAGGCACCTTTGAAGCTTCGTTCTTTTGACATATAGATCTAAAGACGCATTTTGGGTTGAATCTTCAGGAGTCTCTTCATCATTGAAAATATGACGACAGCTTTTTTTTCTTTCTTCGAGGTTCCTTATGTTCTAAAGTGTTGCTAAAACCTGTCGAAGATCTTTTTTTCTGGTCGCCCGCTTAATGGAAATTTTGTTCTATAATCTCTAAGAGCTAGGGTCCGGTTTTTATTGTTCGATATGTAACTTTCCAACGTATCAATCTTTTCCTCGGTGGTAAACGTAATACGCAAGCAGGCTAATAAATTAAATTTATAAACGATAAATAAATGAATCAGTAATGTGTAAAAAAATATTTGAATTATAACAGTAATCAAAAACAAAACACACGTCCTAGCACTGGTTTTGTTTAAACGCCGTCACTAACTGGCACCAGCAGATTATTTGTGACAAATGTTTAAAAGGAAATATTTCAAAAAGTAAAAATATTAGGTATATACAACCTTATATAAAATTGTCTTAATTTTGAAAGCTAAATATGATTATACAAATAGGTAGTTTCCATTTTCTATATCATTTTTAATATTATTTTTCGCATACTCTGTATTAATATGTATCGAAATTTCTTATGAAATCCGAAGTCCTTTGCCTACAACAAAACTTACTCTACTGAAACAATAAATGCTTCCAAATTCAGAAATTGCCATATATTTTATGTCTTGCAAACGTCATTTTTCGCATAAAAAACATTGAAATAAATTGAAGATTTGTAATAACCCAATTAACTTTTGTTTGTAACTTTTGGCTCCGTCTCCTGTAGTTTCTTAGATAAGGTTGTGCCCCAAGATAAACGGCCCACCCTATACATACATATAGATAAATTGTAATAAATATTATTATTTTAAAAAATGAGCTCTTTGATGTCTTTTTTTTCTAGAAGATGTGGATATTTTTCTGATTTTCTTGAAGGTTTGCTAGTATTATTCATGATTATAACTGACTTAGGAGAAATAAGATCTAGCTTTTGCTCAAAGTACTCTTCAAAAACATCAACATTCATGTCTTCATGATAATCTGCAGTCCGTTTTGATTGAAATCCAGTTGTGCTACCAATGTGAGTAACTATTAATCTTTTACCATTTCCCAAGGGTGCTTTTGTTCTAGTGGACCATCCTGTCATCAAAGCTTGCCTCACAATTTACTTCTTTTACCCAAATTTCGTCCTTATAATAGAGATTCATGTTTTTCCTGCGAAATTGTTTAAATATGGCCTTCTAGGGCTATTATTTATTTTCTTAGACTTAGTTTAAATGAACAGTTTTAATGCTTTGTTGTTTTATCAAATATCGATTAAACAAGCATCCTTATGTTTCGTCCGTGGCAGGAATGGTAGACATAGTGTTCATTAAAGAAAAAGCATTTATATCTCGATGCCAAGCAAATTGTAAGAAGTGTCTATAATCGTTTACTTTACTTCTGTGAAAATTATAGTGTCAAAGGACTTAGTTACGTGGATAATTAATTTAATACACGTACAAAGAGCAAGTGTTACCTACACTACGAAGTCTGAAGGAAGAGAGATTTGTTCAATCATTTGTCCGATTCTTTCGGAAGATCAATTGCATCTAATAAAACCTTAAGAGTAAACAATTTTACATACCAGGTCAGAAAATAGATGGATCTCGAATGCTTTGTGACTAGCTTTAAAGTTATACAAACATGGGTCGACCACCATGAAGATATATTTTCAGAACTTTTCAAACAATGGTTTTTGAACAATGATCTGTTACCTAACTTTCCTCAGAATAGCATTATATCAATGCGAGCTATCACAGTCGCTACTTTACAAAGTGAGATTAAAGATTACTTAAAACAAATAGGATCAATATTATTACTAAATACGGAAAGACTAGAAACCTCAACCCTTGAAAATCATTTCTTGCTGAAATAATAATGCTCTATCTCCTAATTGTTAAATATCTGATTAATAAATCAAATTTAAATAACAAAGTTCCGACTTGCCGATGTCAAATTTGTAGTTTTTCTTTTTTCTGACCTAACATTGACGCCGTAAAACTGTCTCGGATCGAGTAAATTAAAACACCTTACATCTGCTCTTTCCTCTAATTTTCCACATTTGAAATATTAAGCGTTTCATCACAAAATATAGTTCATCACAAACCTTTCAAAGAAAATGAGTTAAAAAGAAACCCCACACTTGCCACTGTTATTCTTTCTTACAGTCACCACACTTAAGAAATATAACGTTAAAACCGGAATCACGACAAAATTCCGTTTGAGACACAAGAAGTTTAGAGAATTCCAGGCATGTGCGGCCAAAAACACATTGGAGAAACAGGACGAAAAATGCCAACTAGGCTAAAAGAACATGAAAGAGCCCTGAGACTACTATAAATAAACTCATCAGCAGTTGCCGAACATAATCATGAAACCGAACATCAAGTCCAAAATTGTTGAAAGTTCAAAAAATATAATTAACAGTCAAAAGATATCAAATTTTCAAAAACAAATCAAAAACCGGTAATATATGTTGTTGTAATTTGTTAAGATGAAGATTTTATTTAGTTTTCAAACTTTCCAGTATAAAGGATGAAAACAAAATTTGTTGTTGGTTATTGGTTTTTACTTCTAAACAGGTTAAGATTTTCAATAAAAACATATTTTCAAGGAAAAAATATTTTTGAAACAAAATTTGCTTTAGCAAAAACACTATATTTATCTATTCAATAACCAGTATTTGCTTTTGTTTATTTTGAAGTCACTTGTCCTCCCGCATGTTGTGTTACTTAATGAGCTTTTTTATATTGAATATCTGTTCTGCATATACATATAAATCGGTAGTCCGCTTTGTCTGTATTACAAGGTTTTACCTTTTTATCCTTCTAAGTCTACTTACTAATTCATTGTACTGAAATTTCTTAAGTATTTTAGAATTATTCAGCTACATTAATCTACATTCACCAATGCAAATTGATAGTTTACATACTATCCAGCTAGTTTTTAAACTATTCACTATTGCTGTTTTGTGGAAAACTGCTGATTCCTCCAAAATAACAGCGTATTTAGTTAATTTGCAAATTAGCTGGTTAGTGTAAAAACTATTGGTCGCAAAATATATAATTTAAGAACCCTCATTCAGGTAGGTATAGATGGTAAAATAAGCTTTGATCTCCAAACATATACCCACAAAAATTCAATTTTTGGAAATAAATGGTAAATATAAAAAATTACCCGAGTTTGTTTTAATTTGTAATACTTAAGCAAGTTACCCGCTTTAAATATTTAAGAATTTATATTTTTTTGTATTTTTTTTAGATAATCACATTCGCCAGCATTTTTGAAAATGTGCCGCTGCGTTTTCTACTAAATAAAAAAATAAATAACCCATTGTCAAAAATATTTATTTATAAAATATGGAATAACCTCTAGTGTTGAAAAGTCATCCTTTTGTTTTAGCATTCTATGTTGTACTTCTTTCACCACTACGAACTGCCGGTGATACTGCAGCAGGAGCAATTTCAGCAGTTTTTCATTCGGACTTCTCAGCAGCAACAACAACCTGCCGCTCTATTTAGAGACGGAGCTGCCATAACGAACAATTTTCCTTTAATAAGGTCAGCTGTGCCATATTGCGCAAAATACTTTGAACCGATCGAGAATGTACTTGCAGGGGACGCATCACGCAGCTGCTCTCCGCAGTGAGGTCGTCAACGACAACACAAACCTCCTCCGTTACCGTCAACCAAGTTGCCACATCTACATCAGCGACTTCTACTTCGACTATCGGCACTATTGCTCAACCGGTAAGCGATGTTTGTTTAAAGCAAAATTGATTCAATTTATTGTTCGTCTCAATATTTACGCAACAAAGGTTGCGAAAAGTTTTGCACTTTTATTCATAAATTATAGTATAATATAAAATATAAAATTTCGAACGAGAAATTTTGAAAAGTTTAATTTAGTAGATATACAGAGTGTTGCTTAATGCTCTGTCAATACTAAAGGAGATAATTCTAGAGCACATTTTAAGAAAATCGTTTTTTTTATGATCATACATTCTAAACGTCTCAGTATTTTGATAGAGACTTGTAATAAAAACCTCTATCCCTTTTTTATATTATCTAATCAGTGGTGCGAAGTGATGGCAGAAATTCCTGTTAATATTACGGCCATAGAAGCTACGAAGCGATTTTATTCATTAGCAAATTTACGAATTAAAATTGATAAGTGACTGTTTGAACCGTTTTCGACGATATGGATGTTACCTCTCGCTCACACTCCTAAAAAAATAAAAATGCCACAAAAAGCCTTCGCAGATTATATATGCTTCCCTTTGCTAACGACCAGGTTATAGTCCCGAATACAGAACCAGGAAATTAGTTCAGGAATATGGTATGTGGGGTCTGCAGATAAATATGTGCGTAGGAGGAGGACAGACGGAGGATCTGAAAGTAACATATTCATAGAAGGTTGCAAGGAGTATAACAAAATAAATTGCATCAAATACCGATAGGTACGAAGGCAATGGGAACGTTAAACCTTATTCTATAGTCTAAAATGCTAATAAAATCTCTTATACAGGGTGTTATGAAAATGACAATATAATTTAATGACAACATGGCAAAAACTCCTCGAAATAAAAGACGCTAATGTTTGAGAAAGGTTGCCCCAAAGATTTAGTACAACATGATTTTCATGCCACTTTCGGTAAGGCATTAAAGTTTGCCGGGCCAAATCGTGCAACCTCACATTTAATAAATTAAAATATAAAAAAAAACTATTTCACCAGTATATTATCCACTTACACTAAAAAGTGTAATTTTTAACACGGATATCGCTGATGAAATTCAATCTCAAGAAATAATTTGCTTATTAGCAAGATTTCGGCACAAACTAATTAAGCGATCTTATTATTTTGTCCACTAGTACTACAAAAGATTCTTAATTATTTTTTAGCAAGAATATTTTTCAATTTGTAATGAATAAATAATATGGATATGCTTGTGTATTCTTGTAATCCATTTTCCTCGAAAACGTCGCATCCTAGCTATATCAATTAACTGTACATTTTTCTCGTAATAGAACACAACTTTTCCGATTTATGATAAGATAAGAAAAATGTCTAATAGTCAACCCGCAAAAAAAGTTATTGCAATTTTTGTTACATGGACCCCTCAAAAGTTACATCCCTTTCAATACTTTCTCTCAACCTATTTCGGAAATATTAATAAAAAACAATTTTCACATAAAATGGACATAAAAAATGCTGTTAGAGTGTGATCCACTAATTTCGGGACAGTCTGTATACTACTAAAATTAACTTATTATTTTTTTTAATGGCCTTCTCTCCTTAACAGGCATTCTTCTGCCAGTGTTCACAATTTCAAATCTTTAAGTGTTGGACTTTTAATGTTTCCTTATAAAAAGAAATCTTAAGTTATCGAGATCATGAGATCTTGTCTGCCATGGTTGAAACGCATAACGACCTATGCACTGGTTATGATAAGCTGTATTTAATTGATTTCGGACAAATACAGATAAACGAACTCCATTGTGCTGTACCCATGGGGTCCTCAATGCAATTAGCATATCTCCCAACAGTTCAAGTAATCCCTCTTGGAGAAAATAAGAGCGTCCATCAAGGCGTCAAAGAATAGGCACGTTAGATGATTATTAATACAACCTTACATTAACACATTCAAAAAATTACTCAACGAAACATTAATGGTTTTTAAATCAACAAAGCTGCTCGATTTTAACTATTTTAATCAAGAAGAGTGCATTTGACAAGAAAAAAAGCAAGAGGTGACTTGTATGCAGAAATCACTACATCATCTTAAGAAAATATTACTCTGAAAAAATATCGGTGGCAACACTTTTTGCTAATTAAAATTGAAAAAAGTGTTAAGCACGTAAAAGTGGGTCTTAATGCACAAAATGTTTCTCCCAAATTTCACAAGAAGTTCTTTTGTTAAACTGAGCTCAAAAATTGTCCCTTTCAGTATTGACACACCATTAAGGATGACGCAGGTTTTACGCTAAAGGTTTAATGTTTCTCGAAAGGAAGTTTTTGAGTACCACGCGGTAAAAGAGTATTTGTTTCCAGTACTACCTTAAAAATTGACATTTTAGACCCCAGAATTAGGCAAAAAACCTTGCAGATGACAGGAAAAATAACTATTTACAATTCTTTTGGATTCCTGCTGCGTCGGTTGTTGATGAATCAAACTTGCCAATCATCCTGTTGGTTTCTTCAGAGCTTAACTTAAACTGGCTCGCATTCTACTCTGTACCTGTGTATATAATGTTTGGAGGTCTCGGATGACTGATTCCTATATTGATGAAAGGTAAAGATCTGAGTCGCGCTTAAGTTGTTTGGTTGCTTATAGATTTCTATAGATTCTCGGATTTTTTGTTGTTTCCAAGAATTTTATCGAATGAAATGACATGCGGTTTTGTAATGGCGTTCGGCTGTTGCTGATAAGTTTATTTGTCCTAGTCTCAAGGCTCTTTCGTGTTCTTTCACCCTATTTGATATTTTTCGTCCGGTCTGTCCAATCTATTCTTTGCGGTATATGCATCGAAAGCTGTAAACTCCTGGTATCTCATACGGAATTTTATCTTTGTCTCAACTCGAGTCACTAAACCCAGAATTATAACACCTTACCTGTGCTCTCTAATTCCACATTAGAGATATTAAGCGTTCCATTACGAAATAGACTTCACCACAAGCTTCCAAAGACAATCCGTCCAAAAGCAACCCTACACATGCCACTGTTGTCCTTCCTTACACTCAAAACATCACTGATCACATATCAAGAGTTTTTAAGAAATATAACATCAAAACCAGATTTACCACCTGTCCAAAAATACTTCAAAAAATCTTCGATCCGTCATTGAGAAAATTCCGTTTGAAGCACCAAGCTTACACCATATGCGACAAAGAAAATATTGGAGAGATCAGACGAAAAATATTAAATATGAAAGAGCGTTATGACTATAACAAATTAATTCATCATATGGGAATCAGCTATCCGAGACAAACTTCATACCCTTCCTTTAGATCCGCGCCCCTCAAACAATATATAAGCAGGTACAAAGTAGAATATAGTTTCGGTTAAGCTCTGAAGAAACCAACATGATAGTTGGCTAAACGTCAGCAAGTTCGATTAATCAACAACCGACACAGAAGTAAATAGTATTAACGTAGCCGGTGGAAGTTTCTTTGAAAAATTAACAGAATTTTTTTTTCCTTCCTCTCTCTCTATATCTCTATATAGAGTCAGAAAAGTATAAAGTAATAAAATGAGAAATTCTGTCCAGTTCCGCTCGTCAATAAAACAGAAAATATTACAAGAAACTATCCACCACCAATGTTCCCGAATAGCTGACGGTGAAAAATCATCCAAATTTTGTTTTTGTTTGGCAATAGCATAACCCTAAGGCATTTTTACCGTAAAGTGATGTAATTGTTTGCTGATCACGACATTACTTGAGAAGTATCAAGCCGGACGAAAGAGAGCGTTATTTGTTAAGACGTGTATTCTCAATCTCTTATAGCATCTACAAACAAGTGTTAGTAATTGCAGAGTACTTCTATAGTGCTGTCTTTGGTTTACCTTCCTGTACCTAAGTTATTGTCCATTTTATTCTCTCGTAATCCCAAAAAATTTCTTCCAATTTATAACTGCTCCTCCATTCGTAATATCGCAATTTATATGTAATACTAATAGCAATGCTTACATTTGTAGAAATTTTTACTTTGGAACTAATCACAAGTGATTAGTTTTTGTTACTAAAAGTTGCCACATATAGTAGAACGAAATAAACAGCAGTACATGCAGAATTACTGTGGATAAACGCAACACAATGAAAAATGAAATAGATTTCACTCGATTTTGACACGAACTTTGAATTTTACTGGCTTGTTAATTAAAAAAAATAATTTGTAATTTTAAATCCAGTCAGCAACGAAAGAAAATTGGATTTCTAGCAAATTATATTAATTATACGTTAAGTTAAAGTATAAGATCTTAAAGATTCTTTAAGCAATGACTTAATAATATTGCTTACTATTAAATATTTCTTTGCAGAGTTTGAGGATGATTGTGTATAGGTGTGTGTTAGAGTAAGTAAAGAGCTCACTGAAAAATAAGTAAAAGTGCGAAACAACTCCTTGAGAGACCTTTTCTAAAGTTCCCATTAACGAAGTTTATATTAGGTGATCTCGAGCCAATCGAGTCAGACACCATCAGCATCGGTGGAGACCACTGAGTCCCAGACATCAACCGGAGGTCCTTCAGTGACGGCGTCTAGTCAAACGAATGACGAAGGTATCAGGCCCCGGTTCGGTGGGCCGGACCAATCCTGAAAAGGATTTAATTACTAGTAAAATATAAAAACTTAAATTATGTAAAATCTCCAAGGAATCTGACGCCATTCGATTTGCTTTTAAAGGGTCCGCGAACCTATTTATACAAAACGGTGTTTATAAGGACAAATTGTTTTGGATTTTCCCACACAGTGCAGAATTCAGAGCGAGTGAATAGAATAGAACAGGCCAAGGCTGGGACGTTCGTTGATGTAACAATTCTGCTAGATAAATTTATTTGGATATTCTTCATTATTGCAGTTCGCATTAGAAAATTTCTGGTCAAAACGCCATTCCAGTGAAATCGATTGAAAGCTAGTCGAAATACCACCACACGAAAAACACTTTTTTTCCTCTTTTCTCCGGATGTTTCGCGGGCCCTTTTTAGGAAAAACATGATTTTGAAAAACAGTTTGGATTAAATATTATCTCTCAACTTCAACATTTTTTTTCGGTTCTAGGTTTGAAAACCTACGCGTCAATAAATATTTTATATTTGGGCCTGTTAAATTTGGATTGAAGTCAAAGAAAGCTTGCCGTAAAGATAAGTGTGCTTAGCGTTACCGTAAAACAAATTTAATTAAATTTAAGCAGTGTATAAATAAGTGTTATTTAAATTGGCCTATTTCACCTGTATATATATATTTTTTTTGTTTATTAGGTGGATGTAAATTATACCGTTGATTAATAAATACCACAGTTAAAAATCTGTTGTTTTATTTAGTTCATCGATGTACGATCATCAGTTTTCGGATTCAAAACGTCAGGTTTTAATCCGGTCAAATTAATCATAAAATAATAAAAATTTCGACAGAGCTTCGGTAGTGCAGTAGATACCTATATCAATATTATCAACATGAATAATCATGTAGTAAATAGTGTATTTTCTCATAATACTCCACATACGATTTTGTGAGGGTTAGAGTTAGTAAAAAAACTGTTTTCTACTACTTTCGGAAATGTTTATTTCCATTATCAAGGTCAAAATATGAAACAAAACATTTTAGTTGTAGTCATTAACAAAATAACTACTTACAGTGCAAAGTGAGTTAAATAATTGACAAGTTATCAACCAGCGATAGCATTTTCATCCCTCTTGGGAGAAATAAAAAACAAAAAAAATATTACATCGTGTTTCAGACCAACAAAAACTAACCAAAACTTAATTTATGATTAAACTTATGAAAGTTATTTTAAGAGGTATTCAAAAACGGCACCTCATAAAATACATTTTCGAGCACATTTTTCTATTGAGCGAATTTGCCTTTAGTATAGCCTTTAAAACATCAATGTGTTGTTATCTTTTCTTGTAAATTTCGTCTTTTAAATAACCCCACAAAGGGAAATCAAATGGGGTTATATCTGGCGACCAAGGAATAGGCCAATTTGTACCAATCCATTTATTGTTGAAAATGGTTGTCAAAAATTGATATGTGCCTTTTGAGTTATGAGCTGGCGCGCCATCTTGTTGGAAATGGAGATTCTTCCTACTTATGAGGTCAAGCTCATCTAGAAAACCATCCAAAAATTTCAGTAATAATTGCAATGTACCGCTCCAGGGTCAACTATACCGCATCAAAGGTTAAAGCTGAAACAAACTTGCGGGCTTCAGGGATGTACTAGCAATAAATTTTCTCTTGACCAATAATGATAATTTTTTCGATTACAGATTCCAAAATTTGAAAATTTTGATTCGTCAGTCCACAAAACGCGTCGAAAATTATTTATGTTTTGGCGGCAAAAAACACAGCAATGACAAAAAAGTCTTCTCTCGACATCCCCTACCAATAGCACTTGAGCTGGTCGGAATTTATAAGAGCAAAATTTGTGCTTTTTATTTAATCATTTGGACAGTATTATTGGTATTATTAAAGCGATGACCTTGTGGCATTGAACAACTAAAATTGTCGTTGACAGATCGTTAATAAGTTTGGATGCGACATTTTTTCTCAAAAAACTCCATATATGTTGTTAAATGTTCTGGTAACAAGTTAAGTATATGGAAATCACTGTTTAGAAAGAAAGAAAGTGCAGATTAGTGAGTGAAATGTAGATATGCATGCGTGGAAAATCATTCCCATAGGGCTATTGTATTATCCAATAGCGATATGACAGGAACTTATGAAGCAACTATGAAAAACTTTTGAAAAGATCTGACAGACCTTCAATAAGTTTGAATATGCAATTTTTACTGCAGCATTTTCTCAAAATATATCCAATCCCTTCTTCACTTAAGGCGCATCAATTTTTACCATAGTATGGCCACTATATTATCGAAAAGCTACGTGTGAACGCCCTATATTTTATGCCAATAACAGATGTAATTTATTTTTATTGAATAATACGATATCTTCCTATAGCTAACTTTTCACGTTATCAAATAAAATGTATGAACAAAATTTTAAAAAACTGTGAATACATATCAAACAATTTTTTAAATCGTGTGACGAACCATCTGACCCTGAACCTAAACCTGACCCTAAACCTTCAGCAACATTTGCCAACGTACGCTGAGTTACGGTTTTGCAAGCGTCTCTCATAGCTGCTTCAGATCACTTTAAGGTATCCCCACAAAAAAATCCTTCTTCCTTCAATCCACCGATTTTGGAAAGGATCATTTGCAAGTTATTGGACCGCACGATGAAAATGCTCAGGAACTTCAATCATTTGAAGGCTCATCCTTCCTTTTATGTTTAAGGGAATATCTTGTAATAGGACGCGAAATTGTTCGGTCACAAACCTTCATTTAAATGTTCGAAAATGTAAGAACCATTAAAATATGTAGCTATTATTCCATCCCACATATTCACCGTCCATTCGGAATAAGAAGCTAATAAGAAGAATATATAATGAAAATAAGAATAATATTAATAACAATTCTTTATTCCAAGGTCTCGTGTTTAACTAAATCTAAAGTGTTACAATAACAACAAAAAATATAAAAGAGCAATAAAAAGACATGTCCAGCACTTCCATAAATTAACCACCTTCATATATTCAACGGATATGCAGCTATGGCCTTAAGATATTTTTCTATATTCTAGTTTCTATATCAATTTGTATATTAGACACACGTTTGATTTCTATAATGTTCTGGATCCTTTCTATATCATTTAGCAAAATGTTATAAAATTGTATGCAATCATAATATGCTCCATTTTCTGTAAATGTAACTGAAAAGTTCTAGAGTAATAATAAATAATGATAAAATGTATTCCTATGTAAATACCAGTACCGTTAAAAGTTTTTTTTTAATTCTTCTCCGCATGTCTCCATAATTTTAATTTCAAGAATAAAACAAGACAATACAATAATAATACAAGAAAAATTGCTATTTTGTTTTTAAATTCTACCGACGCCTAGCCAGCAGGTGCACTTAGCTCACGAAGTGAAATCGTTAATCATTAACCACCGAAATCTTTAGGAGGCACATCAACACCAAAAGCAATCAAAATTAACGAAACTAACCAACACTAACCAAAAAAATTTGAGATATGAATTTTACACCATTTAAAGCGATTTACATGCCTTCAGAGGCACACTTGCACAGTGCATAATAATTCCGTAGCCAAGTTCACCGCCGGGCCAGACTCTTCTTAGAAATCTATATATAATAACACAACGTTCAACCTGCTCAGAACGTAACTGGCATGTTCATTCCATGATAAATTATCGCTAACATCAGTCTTTATATATATTTATATTTATATGTATATTATATAAAATATTTGTAACGGGTGATTCAATAAGAGTTTCCACATTACAATCTGAAATATTTTTGAAAAACGTATTTGTTTATTATCATATGAGATTTCTAACCTCAAAACATAAACACAATTAGTCATGGAGCAATATACGACTGAACAACGTGTAAAAATTGTGCAAGCCTATTATGAAAATGGTCGATCAAGAAAAAATGCATTTCGGGCTCTACATGAATTTTTCGGCGCGCAAAATCGACTTTCACAGAGAGGACAATTTGGAATGTGGTTCAAAAATTTGAGCAAACTGGATCTGTAACTAACCTCAAAGTCCCTCAACGTGCCCGTGCAGGTCGGTCAGATTAAAATATTGCCATTGTTCGCGAAAGTGTAGCCGAAGATCCAAACACATCGATTCGTCATCGATCGCAGCAAGTGGGCCTTAGGTATTCAACCACACAGCGAATTTGAAAATCAGACTTGCGTCTACACCCATATAAAGTCCAAATAACTCAGGAGTTGAAACCTCGAGATCGTCAACAGCGCCGCGTGTTTGCAGAATGGATACAAGAACAATTTTTCAACGAAAATCATCTTTAGCGATGAGGCACATTTTCACGTTGGTAGCTTTGTAAACAAACACAATGCTCGTATTTGGGGATTAGAAAATGCAAAAGAGGTTGTTCAAAAAGTGACTGTTTGGTGCGCATTTTGGTGCGGAGAAATAATTGGCAACAGAATGGAGCCACTTGTCACACATTCAGAGAAACGATGCAATTGCTGCGGGGCAAGTTTCCTGGTCCTCACGTAACGGCGATATCAATTGGCCGCCGCGATCATGTGATCTTACTCCTCTAGATTTTTTTTTTGGGTATCTACAAAGCAGAGTGTATAGAAATAAACCAAACACTATTCCAGAGCTGAAACAGGAGATTAGACGCGAAATAGCCGGCATAGAACCTGTATTGTGTCAAAAAGTGATAGGAAATTTCAATAAATGAATTACGTCATGCCCATGAGTCGCGGGGGTCATTTGAATGACATCATCATCATCAGTTGAGAATAAAAATGTTTGTATATTTTTATATTCTTCCGAGTTTTTTTTATTATTTTAATGTGGAAACCATTATTGAATCACCCTTTATATTATGAAGAGAAGACGAAAACCCATACATAAGTCGTAACTTAATTTGCTGAAATTTACGACGTCCACAGTTGCTACATATGCACAGTTTAGTTCGTCACTATTTTTTTTAATTTGAATTCTTTATGCTTGTATTCAATTTTCGAAGGTGGTCAAATGCAGTTTGTACTAAGGGAGTCCGCTAAATAAACGGATTATCTTCGTTTGAAATCCAAGAAATAGTAACCATTTTAATAAATTCATCATCGCGTAATTACCACGAGTTTTCTGCCGGTCCAAAACATCTATCTTTCGAACCGCTTAAGCCCGGCTTACGGAAAACCAAAAATAATCGTCTCTGGATATCTAAAGTATAATTAAAGGAATCTGTAATTTGCACTTTAATTTCCGCCGAACGGGCCTTAAACAAACTAAAAGCAAAGTGGGAACCTGAGCCAAATTGCAGTAACTGGAGACACTTCTTTGTAATTCATGGGATTTCCCGGTGTATTTGTCATTCATTCCGATTTTCTTTTCTAGTCGGTCCTCCTTTTTCCGCTGCGTGGCGGCGCGCATCGTTTCATCCCACTCCTGGCTTTTACCTTATTTAATCTCTCTCTGGTCCATTTGTCTCAATCTCGAGAACAATGTATTATTTAAAGACGCTCCGTTGCGTCGTCCGGTTTACCTCCCGACTATTTGAAATTTTTGTTTGCTCTGATTGCGAAAGAGTTTACGGTTCTAAGACCGCTCCAAACGTTCTCGAGCGACGAAAGAATATCTATTGTTTGCCGATCAATCAGAAAATACGGCTTATGCTAATGTACGGGGTATTCGCGATTTATTCCGAACACTGCTACGTTAATTTTTCAGTTGCGTCTCT